TGAAAATAAAGCTTTTAATCTAGGACTGAAATTTCTAGCTTCTTCCAAAGTCTGTCATTTGGGATACACTCAAAGACAAATTCAAGATCAATAAAGGCAGCATGAAGGGCGCCATAAAGGTTGCCACAGTATTTTTCTGCCAGCTGTTGAAATTTAGGCAGTGGTCAGTTTTAGACTTGCCAGTTGTAACACTAGTGTGTTCATGGGTTTTTCTTAGACCCCCTAGCCAATTGCAAAACAAACATTTATTGAATGTAGTTTGCTGGTTACATGCAGCAGATTAATGGAATGATCATTGCTAAAGTCTTCACAGAAACCGTTATTATACACGGGAACTGGGAATTATAATTGTGAGTCTCTTGAAATTACAGCAGGGAATCAATGGCAAAAAAAAAGGGCTGCTAAAATTTGTGCCCATCAGTGAATATTAATTTTGAAAAGTTCTACAGGGATATATCATCCTATCCCATAGCTTTGTCTAATTAAACCTGTGCTTCTAATTCAGAGGTGTCAAACTCAAGGCCCAGGGGCCGGATTCGGCTTGCGGGGTGATTAGATTTGACCAGTGGAGCCACCCTCGAAACAGTGAAGGGCCGGCCCACAGTGCCTCTGCCAGCAAAAATGGAGCTCACGAAGGGTGCGGATGGCTCTCCCAAGCTCCGTTTTCACTGGCAGAGGTTACAGGAGGCTGTCGCAGGCAAAAATGGATCTCAGGAGCCCATTTTCGCTGGCAAAGCGCTCGAACCACCACAGGCACACCCGACATGAATGATGTTGAGCTGGCCATGCCCACCTCGGCCCCCCGCGGTCAAACACAACTCTGATGCAACCCTCAATGAAATTGAGTTTGACACCCCTGCTCTAATTTCTTAAAACTATCATAATGCAGGCCAAACTGGGTGATTAAGAGGTACAAGGTTCTAGGGTAAGACGTACTTCTGAAACTAAAAGGGTTTGAAACTGCATTTGCCAATTCACTGGAGGAAAATGATAGATTTAACCAAGGAGCTTCGTTTTTTGTCTTTTTGCTACAGTCTGTCAAAAATTAACTGCATTTCTCAGTTGTCACTGTCCTTCATTTGACTTTTATTTACATGATTTGTACCCTGTCCCTTTGCCCCTAAACATTCTTTATAGTAAAAACAGAACAAAATAAGACAGGAGGGTGGAATTAGGTTGATCTGACATACCTTATAAAAGTGTAAGTACTGCAGAAAGGCAGATTAATGAGATCCTATAAACTATACAGCGGTTTAGCAGACTCAGTAAAACTATTGACTCTATATTTTAAAATTATTTGAAATTTTTCCTCAAGCGTTTGCCTTGTACCACAATTAACTGAGTTTAGTAATGCAAAATTTCACTATATATCTATTCATTGTATAATTACAAAGGAAGAAATCATAAAGAACAATGTAAACTAATAAACATTAAAAATAACAAACCAATAAACAATTCTCTAGTCTAGTGTCACATATATTTTTTATGTTTTCAGCTTTTCCTCCAGACCATAGCAATTTTACCTATATCTCTGTACTGGCAAGAGTATATCTCAAGTTGTTAACATTCAGAAATCTGTACTCAAAAGCAATATGAATCACAGGACAACAGTTCTCAGTTTGGGAGCCACAATGGTTTTTTTCCAAAGGAGATTTAATTACTGCCTGTCTCAAAACACCTAGCATAATGATACAGGAAATTTATGTTTTCCTGAATCCCCCTGCCAATCCCTTTTTGGTACCTATAGTCAGATAAAACAGATTGTATATTGAGATTATAAACTATGAAATGTATTGATTCAAGCATTTTGTTCTGTTTATAGATTGCAGCAACTGTAGCTGATCACCAAAATCCTGATTTGGTGGTACTCTAGATATTTCTTTTGATATTGTGAAAAGTATAGAATAGAAATAGAAATACAATATAATACAATACTATGTTCATTGGCCAAGTGTTATTGGACACACAAGGAATTTGTCTCTGGTGCATAAGCTCTCTGTACATATTGTACACAATGTGTGTACATTATGTGTGTATATTTGTGTGTGTGATATGTTATATGTACAATGTTGTAATATAACATATCACACACACAAATATATATAATTTTATTATTATTTATTTTATTTATATATTTCCAGTTCCAATATGCTCAGCCACTTGAAACAGTTCTCTTGGATGATGCCTTAAGAGTGTGATGATGAACCTATAGCATGCGTGCCACAGGTGGCACACGTAGCCATATCAGTGGGCACGTGAGCTCAGCTCCAGTGCGCGCCAACTGATTTTCGGGCCTTCTTGGCTCACCAGAAGTAGAGGAACAGGCTGTCTCCTGCCTCCAGAGGGCCTCGAGGGGTGGTGGGGAACGCCGTTTTTGCCCTCCCCAGACTTCTAGAGAGGCTCTGGAGGCTGGGGACAGCAAAAAACGGGCCTTCCGGTCTCACCGGAAGTTGGCAAATGGGCTGTTTCTGACCTGGGACCTCCGCGGGGGTAGGGAAGGCCGTTTTCGCTCTCCCCAGACTGCTAGAAAGGCTCTGGAGCCAGGTAAGAGAGAAAAACGGGACTACAGGGCCATCGCGTGCCAGGAGCGGGATGAGCGGGAGGGGGGTTGCATGCACAGGGGTGGGGCACATAGAATTATGGGTGTGGGCATGTGTGCGCACGCGCGACCCCTCCTCCCTCCTGGTATGTGATGGCAAAAAGGTTATCCATCACTGCCTTAAAGGGTACAAGGAGATGGTAATAGTAGCCTTTCAGTAATTCTCTATAAATCCATTTAGTTAGTTGTTAGATGCTATTGAATCATGGGCCACCATCTGTTTGCATAGACAAAAATTTACCATCTCAGCCTAGCAACAATTGGTAAATCTTCCAATCTTCTCCATCTATCATGTTTGTAATCTTTTCCCTTCTTCCATCAATCCTGCCAAGTGTAATTATTTTTTTCTAGTCCATTATCTTTTTGCATCACATGCCCCATATATGTGAGTTTCTCCTTGCTGATCATTGTCTCAAGGGGGCAATTTTTATTTCCTCCAGGACCTGTTGATTCTTGTAGTCCATGATACTTTTAATAGTTATCGCCAAATGCATAGTTAAGAGATACCTTTTTTCTCTTGCTTGTTTCTCAATATCAGATATTTAATGCAATACATTATTACACTGAAAACAATTGCTTTAAATAGTCTGATTTTGGTTGCATTTAGAATACCTGATAGGTCTTGTCTAGGTTTATAATTGCCTTTCTCTTAAAGTTTAATCAGTTTTCTGTTTGACCTCAACACTTTTTATCTGTTCTTGTACTCCCCGCCCAAAAATTATCTAGTAACATCTATTTATTTATTTATTAGAATTTGTCAAACACAAACGAGAACAAGAATAAAAGAATAAAAATACAATGACAGGGACGATAGGCACATTAGTGCACTTATGCACACCCCCTCTACTGACCACTTAAGTATGATGTACATCAATTGTATGAGAAAACACTTGGCTACTGCATTTCTTTGACAGCTTTTAGAATAAATGTGTTGTTTCATTAAAATTATAATTTATAAAAATCAAGAGATAACAGAAGGTTCAGGGGTACAAAATTAGACAGAGATTACTGTTCATGATTTCAGCAGGATTCAAATAGATGTTTTAAGTATAAACTAATTAATGTTTATTAAAATAATGCTTCTCCATAGTGTAGAAATGGGAGGTGCCAGGCTGGGTTATTCTATGCTCTAGCTCTATGGACTGAGTTGAAAACTTCTGAAGATCCGCCTCCCTGGTGACGTTCCTTCAGTTTTTTTTCAACTCAGCCTATGCTCATGGACGCAACTTTTTCAGCTCCAGAGCTTTGAGTTGAGCTTAGTTATAATTCCCTGGTAATTTTTTTCCCTTTTTCCTTTGCATTGGTGTTACATTGCAGGCATTTTGTTGGGGAGGGCTCTCCGTTCGGCGGATTTGAGACTAGTGGGGTGGCCTGGTCGGCTCCCTCCACCCTCCCCAGTCCCCTCAAATTGCTGTGGGGCGCTGGCCGATTAAGTTATGACTGGGAGGCCAGCCCCATGCAACCTTTAGATCATGAAGATTCACTGTGAATTAGGAGGCTGGTCCATGAGGAAGGCACCCTGACAGAGAAGGCATGCTTCCTGGGGTCCACCAGGTGACACTGCTTCACCAGTGGGATCTGGAGGATATCTAGTCTGCCCCATCTGGTAGGGTGAGCAGAAACCATCTGGGAGAAATGGTTCCACAAATTAGTGCTTGGCAGACTTCTTAACAAGCATTCTACATCAAAACTCCACAATAGAAGTTTTTTTCAGTCTGATTAAAGTCAGAGAATGAAACAGAGCTGTGAAAGAGAAATGTAATCTACATTTATGATGTGGTCCCTTAGCTGTCTTAGTTCCAAGCAGCAGCAGCAGCACCTCCAAATTGCTCCCGTAGTTTTTGTATAATTTTTCAAATTAATTATATTAATCTATGGTAGTATGAATTATATTGATTTAGTTACTCTCTAAGAGAAACCAGTTTTTACTTGTGTTATTTTTTTAGTTTAATGCTACAAGCAGAAAGTGTAACTATGTGGATGGTTTTTTGAAGAAGGCTTTAGAATATTCATAATATTAATTCTGCTGTAAAATACAATGACCTGTCCTGAGTGTTTGGTAAGGATAAAATTTGTGACTTACATTCAAATTATAGTGGCTTGTCTTTGGAAAAGCAATTCACATCCTCTGAATAGTTTACAATTTTTGTAGTCAAATGTTCCTAAGGATTATTGGGAAAATCCAAATGATTATCTGAAAAGAAATGCTTCTTCACAAAATAAATGTAGAAAGAAAGAACCCTTGGTTATCTGTTATACTGTTTCTTATTTGGTCTGTAGTAGCAATTTAGTCTTGAACTAGAACAATTATGTTCCAATCTTGTGAACATCTTATTTTGGCATCAATTATAAAGAAGGGAGAAAACCACTGCTGTTTTAAGTACTATGTTGTCTTTTACAGGTTATTCCTTAACTTTCCTGATCACTGTCTCCAAATACTTTCTAAATGAACATTCCTGTTACTCTCAAATTGCTGGAGATGGCAAGTCCAGCCGTCAGCCCTGACTCTTCTTCCCATGAAGCACTTTCTTCTGTCAACTCTATGCCTGCATGTTCCCCTACTTCCGATTCTGAGAACCTGAGCCCAGATGAGTTGGAGCTCTTAGCCAAGTTGGAAGAACAAAACAGGTAGGACATTCTGAAGGTCCAGTACTGCTCTGATACTAATTGAAAGCCAGAGGATGTAAATAGTTTGATGTTTAAATATTTGTCAAACATTCCAGTTTTACCAGATGGCTCCTGTAAACACAACAGTTTAAATACAGTATTTCTTGAAGCATTAATGTACAAATACTAATGTTGGAGATGTGATTGCTTAGATGCTACATATTATCATATATGGTGGACATGCAAGAAAGCAAAGGCTTTTTGGATAAAAATTTGGTGGGTTATGCAAAATGTTTTAAAGAAAAAAATTCAATTTTCTCCTCAATTGTTTTTACTGTGTATAGTTAAGGGTTTTTCAGTGGGTGAAACAAAATTGATATTGTATATGGTAACAGCAGCGAGATTGTTGATAGGTCAATATTGGAAAAATGAAGCTATGCCCACTATTGAAGAATGGACTTTGAAGATGGCTAATTTTGCAGAGATGGCGAAGATTTCAGCATATCTAAAAGATTGGACACAAGAGACTTATGTATGGGAGTGGAAAAAGTGGATAGATTATGTGCAGAATAAATATCAAACTAGGAAATATCAGATAGCTTTTAACTGAATGTATTATACAGGGATAGAATAACTGAATCTTGTGAAGATTTGAATAATATACAGGGGGTGGAGGGGTTCAAGTTTTATAAAATGTGGCCTTGATTTGGATTATATCTTGTGGAAGTCCTGGGGGGAGGGGAGGGTTAGGGGGGGAAATTGGGGTGAAAATGTATTTGTAAAACTTTTTCAATAAAAAAAAAAAGTACAAATACTAAATAGATCTTATGGCAACACTTGTAGAGGGGTAGAGCATTCTCTGTGGGCACTCCTGCCCTCTGGAATGAGTTACCCACCGAGCTTCGGACGGCGCCTGACCTCCGCTCCTTCCGTCGAGATCTAAAGACTTGGCTGTTTCTACAAATGGGTTGATTCTGATTCCTTGGGTTTTATTATTTATTGTCGCTGTTTTTAAATTGATTTTAATTATGTTTTCTTTTATTATTGTATGTTTTTAACCTGTGTTCACCGCCCTGAGTCCTTAGGGAGAAGGGCGGCATATAAATTTGTGTGTGTGTAAATAAATAAATAAATAAATAAATAAATAAATAAATAAATAAATAAACAAATAAATAAACAAATAAATAAATAAATAAACAAACAAACAAACAAACAAACAAACAAACAAACACTTGTATAGCCTGCACCAGAGATATATAACTGCAAAGCATAAATTCCGAGGATACTTCACCCCATGGCAATAGATAATTTCACTTAGTGGCTTCATGTAAATGATGAATAGGAACAGGGAGAACTAAGCCCTGTGGCACCTCACAAATCAAAGGTCTAGGGCTAGACCTCTTCTTTTCCCATCTATACCACCTGGGACTAGCCTCCAAAGGAAAACCACTGCAGAACTCTGCCCCACTCTTCCCAATTTCCTGAGCCTGTGCAGAGTAATACCCCAATCAATGCCGTTGTCAATATTTAAAGCTTCCAAAAGAATCAGGATGGATCCACCACTCTATTATTAGCCATCTAGTATGATCAGTGCCATCTGAGTAATACAGCCTGACCTGAAATCCAACTGGATACGTCCAGGTACTCTACTTCCTAAAAAGGGAAGGTTGGAAACTGGACAAAAACTATCCAGTATAGTTGGCTACAAGGAGGGCTTCTTCAGGAAGACATAAATCACCACTTCTTTCAGAACAAATGGAACCATCCCTTCCCATGCCTCTGTCAGTTCCATAGGACTTTTCCAGCCAGAGTTCATCTCTAAGCAAATTTGAGTAACTTGATCTGTCAGATGTCTAGAATAATCCTCAAGTTATCTCACAAGGGCTCCCCTGCCCACTCCTTACCAATAAGGAAACTTGTTATCCAAAAGGGCTGCTGCTCAGCTCTCTACAGATTCAATAAGAGCAAAGAAGTAAAGTTTTTCAACTTTTATCTTGGTACAAGGTAAACCATGTTCTCATCTGCTTGGTTTGGATCACACTTTGTTTTCCTCCAGTGGTGCTCAAGGTATATCTTGTATCCTTTCATTTCCTGGAGTACTTGTGAAAACCAAGGAGTATTTCAAGGTCCAAAATCACAGGGTCTGCACAGATGAGATCCAATTTAAGACTGTTGTTGCTCATTCACTCCAGGCTACATCTAAGGCCATGCAACCAAGCTTCAACAAAACCATGAAGTTCCCTCTGGAATGCTTTCATATTAATCAGTTGCCTGGAACAGATCAAATCAGATCAGGCAAAATCCTTTTGCACAGTGGTGAATAGCTGCAGAGAATCCCCAAGGCTAAAGGAGAGTTGTAGATAGTAAGGAAGATGACCTTGATGCAGGTATGCAGGAATCATTAGTTAGGCAAAATGGGCGGAAACATTTTAAGTTCAGAGCAACAAGATCAGTGGTGAAATGTAAAATTTGTTACTACAGGTACTGTGGGCGTGGCTGGGGTGGTGGTAATATGACTGAGTGGGCGTGGCCAACTTGTTTTTTTTTTACTTTTAAAACCATTTTTTCTACAACCTCTTCTGCTGAAGAGGTAAAAAAATGCTTTTAAAGCCTCTGACGATCCCAGCTGACTTGCCTGATCAGCAGAGGCTTTTTTTCCTTTTAAAAACATTTTTTCTACAACCTCTTCTGCTGAAGAGGTAAAAAAATGCTTTTAAAAGCTTCTGATGATCCCAGCTGAGCCGCACGATCATCAGAGGCTTTTTTTTTTAACTTTTAAAAGCATTTTTTCGACCAAAGAGGCTGTAGAAAACATGCTTTTAAAAATTAAAAAAATGGATGATTGCGCGGCTCAGCTGGGCAATGGGAGGGGGGCAGAGATTTTTGCTACCGGTTCTCCAAACCACCCTCCTCCATCGCTACTGGATCAGGCGATCCGGTCCGAACCGGGAGCATTTCACCCCTGAACAAGATACTATTTGGAAGTGGCTAAGGCAGACATTTTCCTAATTTAGGGTTCAGCACATTCAGACTTGGAAGATTCTATTATTATATCCCGTCTCAGTAATAGTTCTAGCCTTCCTGGGAAGTTGTTTTCTTGGTCTGAGCTACCTAGTGGGGCTGACAGGAGTGATTTATCCATGATCTTGATATCAACATCCCACAATATCCGATCAGATTACCATTGCTATGGGCCAAAAACTGGACTTTATATGTATGCTGCCAGAGATTCAGTAGCTGTGCCTCAACCTATCTCTGGAATCATAGTTGGTGCTATACCTGCAACCTAGAATGGCATATTTCAGAGAGGGAACTCCCCCACCCCCCACCCACTGATGTTCAGCTAAGTTTTAGTCATATCAGGTCAGCCCTCCCATTTATAACCAGCATTTTCATTTAGTAATTAACTTTAATCATATGGAACAATCTCTATAGAGAATGAACACTCTTATTAATGATTAAAAGTCATTTTATAGTCTCCTTGAGCATTCTATAGTGTTCAGCTTCAATTCCTCCAGAATATCAAAAGATAGCCAGAGGTACAATTTGATAATATTTTAGTAAGGATTGACTACTTCTCATTCACAAAATCAAATGATACTTGTTCTAAAGAAATTAAATGTTTTCCCTTGTATTAATTATTGTATTTCCCATGAGATAGATGTTAAAGCATAAATGCTAAATCAGACATGGAAGGAATGGGGATGGATGAATAGCTACCTATTTATTAATATTTTATTAATATTTTGTATATTAGTGTTGCTCAAGCACCATCCAAACTAAGAATAGAATTTGATTTAGGTAGATCCAGATCCAGTACTGAGCCAGCTATTAGTGGGAATCCTAGTTTGAGTTTGCCTTCATTTAATTGGTATGCCTGGATTTGACAGTTGCTTAAAACATGTAAGAGTATACAGCCCTTTGGTTAGCTTATTTCTATTAATATCTTATTTGATTGTATATGATCATGTTGTGACAATGTAACATCAAATGCTTTATTGTAGTGAAAAATTTTATATAATTAAAGTAGTGAGAATCTGAATAAACAAATTTATGTTGCTCTATGCCCGTGATGGTGAACCTATGGCACGCGTGCCACAGGTGGCACGCAGAGCCATATTAGTGGGCATGCCAGCTCAACTCTGGGGCGCATGTGCGTGCTGGCCAGCTGATTTTCAGGCCTTCTGGGCCTACCAGAAGTAGGGAAACAGGCTGTTTCCTGCTTCTGGAGGGCCTGGGGGCGGGGTGGGGAAGGCCCGTTCTTCTTTCTTACCTGGCTCCAGATCCTGTCTGTGTATCTGGGAAGGGCGAAAACAGCCTTTCCCACTCCCTTGGAGGCCCTATGGAGGCTGAAAGGGCCCATTTCCCGACTCCCGGTGGGACAGGAAGTGACGTTTTTTCCTGTCCCCAGCCTCCAGAGACTCCTAGAGAGGCTCCTAGAGACTCGTAGAGAGGTTTTGGAGGATGGGGACAGCAAAAAATGTCACTTCCTGTCCCACCGAGAGTTGGGAAATGGGCCCTTTCAGCCTCCGTAGGGCCCCCCAAGGGAGTGGGAAAGGCTGTTTTCGCCCTTCCCAGATACACAGACAGGATCTGGAACCAGGTAACAAAGAAAAACGGGCCTACCAGGCCATCATGTGCCAGGAGCGAGGGGGGAGGGGGTTGCGCACGCATGCGCGTGGGCACGTGCGCGTGTGACCCTCCCCCGCCACCCCTCTCCTGGCACGCGATAGCAAAAAGGTCAGCCATCACTGCTCTATGCTGTGAATAAGATTACTTATTGAAGTATAGTACTGTACAGACTGCTCTTGACTATAAATGTACAAAATTTGGCTTAAAGGTGAAAGAATGGTACATGATACAACCTTGTACAAAATGAAATTGAAAATGATCTGTAAAAAATAACTGAATTCTGTTTGTTTTAATTTTATTTATTCAATTTCTTTCACTGTCTATCTCAGCCAAGTGACTCTGGATGACTTAGAATTCTGAAGACAGTTAGAATTATAAAACTGATAAAACAATAAAAAACAATAAAATAATAAAAATATTCAAAATAAATACATACAACAACCAAGATAGTTAATCAACTAACAATAAAGCAAAAAAGTGGGTCCTTAATTTTCTTGTTTTGTCACAGAATATAGTTTTCATTCATTTTAAACTGGTAAAGCCAGATGCAGTCTAAAGATTGAAATGTTTCTCTATAGCTTTGATTTTAAATATATATTAAAATTCTTTTGCAACTAAGAAGTATGCCATGTTCTGTCATATTCTCTCTATCCTGCTCCTCAAACAGAATAATTTGCACAAATTTATGCATGTATCCTTCCATTCCTCTTCAGAGATGGAAGAGTTTCTGATGAATATTCAACATTACAAGAGAATTTTCAACATGTTGATTGGCAATCCTAACCTCTACAAGTGTCATAATGCCACTTAGTTGAAATGTTTGAAGAAACTTGTTTATGTGGAAGTTTCATAATGCTCTAGACTAGAGCATTTGTTGCATTCTAACCTAGTTATGTAACTGGTAAGGAGACAAATACTTTTTTTTTTTTTTTACATTTTTCAAGACTTTTGGAAGCTGATTCAAAGTCATTACGCTCTATGAATGGCTCACGAAGGAATAGTGGGTCATCTTTGGTATCCAGTTCTTCTGCATCATCCAATCTGAGCCATCTTGAAGAAGATACCTGGATCTTGTGGGGAAGGATTGTCAATGAATGGGAAGAATGGCGGAAAAGAAAAGAGAAGTTACTCAAGGTGAGGAAAGTAATTGCCTTTCTAGTGGTAGACGTATTTTATAAGACTTGTAAATAATAGACATGTTTATATTTGTTATATATGTTATACTTGCATCTTATCCAATAATTCCTTTTTTGATTGTGTATTTCTGAATTATATTTATGGACTTGGACAAATAAGGCAGTGAGAAACAACATTCTTTTTATGTAAGAATAAACTGTATTACATGAATACTGGCTCTTTGCAACAAATGCATGTAAAAGGGTGATGCAAGAACTCTGTAAAGCCGAGGGCAGGAACCAGAGGAGAAACAAATTGTTTTCTAAAAGCCAGTTGGTTAAGGTATTGAATGTTTATTTTATGGATTCAGATATTCTAGAAGAACCTCAGGATAAGTATGAAAACCTTAATTTAGAGACTCTTTATTAAGATAACATCTTGATGTGTTGTAATTTTGGATGCAATGACAGCATTGTACCCAGTATTCCTCTTAGTTTATGTCAAGGGTTTAAAATTGACCATATCCCTTTATAGAAATTTGGAAAATACATGAAGTGTGAACCAACTTTGCATAATATCACTTAGAGTATCTTGTAGTCTTTTTTTCTCCTTTGCTTAGGAACTCATAAGGAAAGGAATCCCTCACCATTTCCGAGCAATTGTTTGGCAGCTTTTGTGCAGTGCCACAGACATGCCTGTAAAGAATCAATATTCAGAGTTGTTGAAAATGTCTTCTCCTTGTGAAAAGTTAATCAGAAGAGACATTGCCAGAACATACCCCGAACATGAGTTTTTCAAGGGGCAAGACAGTCTGGGCCAGGAGGTTCTCTTCAATGTTATGAAGGCAAGTTTAAGACAACACTTTTTTGTCAAAATTACATACAATGTATATATCTTTATATGGAATAGAGGTTTATTTCATGAAATTAACGTCAGCATCTCAACTTAAACAAGTTTTTGTTATTTAGAATGTCAGCTTTCTTCATTTGGCATCTCCTTGATAGATGTTTATAATATTTCTAGGTCGATAATTATCCTCGCAGATCATACTAAAACTGCTTTGCATGTTAATTGTATTGGAATTTAATTGGAAAAAAATTGTCTTATTCTAATAAATTATTTTTTCGTGTAAGACTGTATATGCAGCAAAGATCAAATACAGAGATTGGTTTAGAAAATGAATTGTTGTGTAATAAGTACAAATGAGGCAGTTTCATCTCTTCGATATTTCTGACATACTATAAAATTAGTCTTTTCAAAAATAAGGCCCTCCAGGAGTGCTGGAATTTAAATTCCCAGAATCCTCTCTCAGTATGTCCTTGGCTTTTTTTTAACTAATAAGCCTGATGAAAATTTCTGAAGGCCTATCACTTTCTCATTTCATTTTGGTTTTATATATTCACAGTTACATAATTAACAAATTGACTAGTTTCTATAGATGAAATCACTCTTCTCTGATTTTTCTGTGAGGTAGTCTGGGTTAAGAGAGTGCAGGTGGCCCAAAATCACCCATTGGCCTTCTGTGATGGGAGACACATACATGCAAACTGTCCTATTTGTTTTAGTAAAACTCTTTCTATGGTATCTGTTTCCTTTTTACCAATTCCCCTTCCCTGTGTGATTCTTGAATTTTTATGGCAATATTTCATTTACACCTCAGTGTATAACTAATTCCATGTGGTTCAACAACATTCACACTCTATAATTGGTGTCAGGTACCATTAAGGATTAAGTTACCTCCCCTTTGATTACAGTTATTTAGAACATCCAGAATTTTTCCTTCTTTGTTGTGAGTAATATATGTATATATCCAATCTATCTGTGAATCTTTACAGTCTCCTGTATTACCAAGTATTTTTTCTTTCACTCTTCTCTTTATCCTTGTCTCTCATGAGCAATAGTACTATTGTAGGTTTTTCATACTAAATCAATATCTGTAGTCTTGGAAATACTTTTTATGTAATAAATATGTAATTGGAAGAGAGAAGTCTTTATATTTTAAATGATATCAATAGTATTGAATGGTTTTTTAAAAAAAACAAAAGAATATAAACTAAACTCAGAAAGGAAAAGAAAGCATAGAAAGTACAAGAAAAGAGGGGGAAAGAAGAGGAAAAGAAATGACTTCTGATCTTCATCATAATACAAATTTAGTAATTCTTCCTCTACAAGACTACATGCAAGTTTCTCATCTTCCTATAAACCATCCCTTATCCATATGAAAATCCACAAATTGTTAACATTTCAGTCCTGGTATCAGCAAAAGTCCATAAAGGGTTCCCGGAACTTTATAGGAACCCTGGTGGCTCAGTGCAGTATTGCAGGCAAACTATGCCCACAGTCTGGAATTTGATCCTGATGGGACTCAAGGTAGACTCAGCCTTCTGTCCTTCCAAGGTACATAAAATGAGGGCCTAGATTGTTGGGGGCAATATGCTGACAATATAAACCACCCAGAGAGTGCTATAAAGCACTATGGGATGTAGATAACTGTAAGTGCTATTGCTATTGTTATTATAGAAATGTGTCTGTACTTAGAGCAGAGGAACATGTACAAGAAAATTAAAATATCACATTCTGTATTTATCATCATTACTGTTGGTTACATTAAAAAAGTGGTTTTTTGAATTATAGTGGAAGCCTGGCCCTCAGACAATTTGGCCATCAGCAGGAACATAGACATAAACAACATCTACATACCATTCAAAAGAGACAATCAAACAGCCAAAAAGGAAATAAAAAGACCAAAACACCTCCTTATTAGCAATCAATACCCAGATGAGCAGAGATTAACACCAAGATTAAAATTAGACCAACAATCAAGAAACAAACAATAACCCAATCAAGGAACTGCCAAAGAAGCTAACAGTAAGCAGCCCAATCAAGGAACCACCATCACTCCACCAACACTGACAAGGCAGGCCTCTAGTATATAAAATGATAGCAAACTTTATTCCCTGCTAGGACTGATGATATTACCTAGTCTGAAAATGAAATGTCTGCAAGAAAACAACCAAGCTCAGAGAGCACCAAACATCCCACAGTTCAACCCTGAGCTATAAATATTCTCTTCTTTTGGATTTATCTCAGATTTCAAGAATGAAATGGGAAACATTCAGAGACTCTAAAACAAAGGGCATGATAAAGACATAAGGAAAATAAATTTAAGTGGGATAACTAATTGCTGTTAAACCCTATAAAATCAAAGCATGCTTTTAAACTTTTGCATCTTTTATTACAATTTTGACAATATAGTCTTGTTCCTTATATATCCTATTCATGTGGTCACCAGAAGTGAAGACTGACTTGAATGCACCAGAAACAGCTACCTTGCATTGCTTAATTCCTCAGAGTATCTCACATTCAAAGAACACGCAAATTCTTAAATTCCCCAAGAGTTGCCTGAAATGCATCCCTCAGTTAATATATGTGGCACCTTATTTAAGTTAAACCTGCTACTTAATTCCACAATATTTTGCATTTATTATTATCTTTGTTTTCTAAAATGTTGATTTTAATTCCTCCCTACCATATCACCACTCACCTATCTTCATATTATATCAAATTTCCAGGATAATCAAGTTCCAGATTCATTATATTTCCTATAGTTAATATCTGAAAAGTTGTCATGGTGAGAAAAATTCTATGGCTAAGTTTATACATCTTACAAAAAAAACTGTGATTCATGAAGCCTTGTTCAATAATACATTGACTAAACTTCAAGACATCACAAAAATCTTTGCATATTTTAAAATATAGTTGTGTACATCTTGTTTTATCTCTTTCAGATAAATTAATGGCTAAATTGTGAGCTATAAATTTTTTCTGGCTTAAAATTCTTATCTTTCAGGCTTATTCTCTAGTAGACCGTGAGGTTGGGTACTGCCAAGGTAGTGCATTCATCGTGGGACTACTACTCATGCAGGTTTGTGCGGTTTGTTCATTAGAAATCTCAAAGAGCAGGTGGCAGTCATGGTGAGGAGGCGCTTTGTGTAACTGCAAATTGTGCCCCAGTTATGCCAATTCCTGGACCAATGTGTCCTCTTCATCCATGCCCTGGTCATCTCCAGTTTGGGCTACTGTAATGTGCTCTATATGGAGCTGCCCTTGAAGAGTCTATGGAAACTCCAGTTGGTTCAAAATGCAATGGCTTGCATATGTCGGCACAAGTCAAAATTTACACATTTGTCACATCTTTCACGGGAGCTACATTGGTTACTTATTTTCTTCTGGGTACAATTCATGGTGCTGGCTGTCATCTTTCACTAGGGCCAAGTTATTGGAAGGACTGTTTCCTCAGCTACCTCTACCCAGCCCACCAGAGTGGGAAGGCAAGTATATTGGGGGTCCCAACAAGTAGGAAAATTCATCTAGTGAGACAGGGGAAAAGGGCCTTCTCTGTGATGGCTCCCTCCCTTCGGAACACCATTCCCCTCAATATAAGATTGGCCCTTACCTTAATTTTTCCGGAAGGCCATGAAGACATAGTTCTGCTTGTCACCTGGGGCCTCCAGGTTAATACAGTCAAGGTGGCTATGTGATTGTGTAATTACTGCTGCTGGGGATGGAGAGGGATATATGGGTTGTAAAATTTTAATGTTGTATGCCACCCAGAGTCACCTTACATGAGTTGGGGAGGGAGGGAGGAAGACGTTAGGAATGTTTAGATCAGTTCATTATCTTACAAAATATTACAGGTCTGTAATCTGTAATTTATTTTTATGCAATTGTTTTATTAATCCCACATTTCTTTCAGAAACTCAGAGCAGAATACCTAATCACATGCTGCTCCAATTAGTCCCCAAAACAACTACCTTGCAAAGGCTGGGGAGTAACTGGCCCACTATCACCTGCTCAGTTTCCGTGGCTAAAAGTGGATGACTTTGGTTCTCATCTAGTTTCTCAAACTATAATATTAGCATGAATTTATTATTTAAAAATAGGAACCAAGTTTAATTCTTGTTTTATATAGAAATAAATTTTTGTCAGTATAAATTTACTTAAAAGCTTTTCATTATTCAAAAAGTTTGCTTAGAAGCAGGTCCCTGAGTATTCTGCTTTTCAAGGAATTTAAATAGTCAATCTCTACAGATTATACTCAGTTCGCATTGCACATTTAATATATGCTATTTTAATGAACTGTTGAGGCCAAGCTGGTTCAATTTTATATGTGTGTTTCATACTTATTTTTACTGGCTTGAAATGAAATAGGACAACAGTTTATTCTAACCTTTAGAAGAGGTTGATTGGTTTGTTCTGCAGCCTTGTTTTGAAAGGAAGGCTTTAGATCTTCCCTCATAGTGAAATGCCATTTTGAAGATTACAAATCCTTGATAGTCAGTTTGTAATAGGTGACATCTATTTTTTTTTTCAATCTATGCTACAAAAAGTATAACCTAGAATGCAGGGGCGGATTTCAAAACCCGTCGCTACCGGTTCGCTCATGGGCGCACACGATGCTTCTGCACATGCACAGAAGCGGGTGGGTGGAGCCTCTCGCCACTGCTGCTACCGGTTCACCTGATCCAGGGTGAACCGGTAGCAACCCACCACTGCTAGAATGAATGTAATATAATTGCCTGCTTAAGCTGGACTTTCAGGTCATCTTATCAATAAATTGGGAACTACAAAAACTTTCCTGACAAAGGCAGTGGGAAGACATTTTACTACTGTTGCCAAGAAACTGTGTGGTTATGTATTCATGTAGTCATCAAGGAAGAGAGGGTAGGTGCTGAAAACTGAGAGAAAAAATGCCCTTGTAGAAAATTATTCAGGTCTGCTATGTTTTGGATGTGTATCTTTTTCAAGGATAGTATGAAAAAAAAGACATATAACCATAATACATGGTGTAAACATTGCAGTGTTGTATATGCAGTAAATAGGTCAAATCAGTCACTTTATTTTAATACAATGACTTAAAAGCATTCCATTGATTGCAACGAGTTATTACATGAATGTAGCATTAATAAAAATATTACAAAAACAGTCACATATATTGCTTCCTTAATCTCCATCCTATTTAAGACATGTGGTTGTGTTAAATAAGTTCCAATGTATATTTATGCTTATTATTTTCAAAACCATTCATATTAAATAATCATATTGCTTTAAAAAAATTTGGGTTATTATACATTGGAGCTGAACAATGGAGGCAACAGTTTTGTTAGTTTTGATAAACTGCTTCCTTTTAAAGCAGCAGTCCCAAACCTTTGTGGCTTGACGGTCTGGCTTGGAAGGGGAACTGGGCCATGCAAATGCACACACAGTCCTTACACAAGTGGTGGGCCGGCATGCACACATGTGGCTCAATTTGTATAAGCAGCCGGCTGGAATGCTTTGCGCGAGTGGCTGCCATCCAGCCATATATGCTCCATCCAGCCACTCAGGCCTAATTCTGAATAGGCCAAGGCCTGATAGTAGGCCACACCCCAGGGGTTGGGGACCCCTGTTTCAAAGGACATAGCACAGACCCAGTTAAAGAAGCCCTATATGAAAAACATATTTTTAATTATTTATTTATTAGATTTATATTGCCGCCTATTTGCCCATGGCGACTCAAGGCAGCTTTATTTTTATTTTATTTTATAGTTTTATTATTAATTTTTGAGAATTTGAATTATTAAAGTTTTCTCCTTGTGTTCTATTTTGCCTTTTATTTACTTCCCTTTTTAAAAATGGAATCCATAATTAGTAAGACAAATCCAGGCTTTGCGTGCTGCTTAATGAAAAGAATGTTTTTGTCCTTCATTAAGTTTGACAGAGACTCATGTACATGCACTGTCTGCTTCTAGATGCCAGAAGAGGAGGCCTTCTGTGTATTTGTACGTCTGATGCAAGAGTATAGACTACGGGAATTATTCAAACCCACTATGGCCGAGTTAGGACTTTGTATCTATCAGTTTGAATACATGCTGCAGGTAAATAAATTTCCAAATATTGGATTTTAAATACGCACTACTTTCTTTTTAGATGAATTCCTAAAATCATCAGAGGTCTGAAGTACCAAAGCTTACTAACTTAGCAAATAATTAGGAATGTTTGTTGCTGTATCTGTTACTTTTAACTTTGAGAATCCTGCTGAGAAATCTCTTAATGTCTGTGTAGCAATTAATGTTAACTGGAGTTTCTAATAATTTAAGACTTACGTTTTATATTTCTATCAGGAACAACTACCTGAGCTGAATATCCACTTCCGCTCCCAAAGCTTTCTCACCTCTATGTATGCATCATCTTGGTTTCTTACACTCTTCCTCACTACTTTTCCTCTGTCTGTGGCCACACGAGTATTTGACATCTTCATGTATGAGGTAAAACATGTAATTAAAAATACAGAAGGGAAAGAAATTGAGTGGTCTGCATTTGATAGTTAAAATTTTCACAGGAAAAATAGGATATAAGGGCAACAGCTTTTTTTATCTTGCTGCACCCTGGCAATAAAACTCTTATTTCTACTTCTAGGCGGGGGCAGCGGGGGAAGGAGAGACAATCATAGGTAGTAGTCATTGCTATTCTTATTGTCCATGGATTCGTCTATTTCCAATAATTATATCTGAATAAATAGTTCAGATTGATTTGTCACAGAATGTTCTAGCAATACTGTGAGTTCTAGTTCTGCCTTATGTATGAAACCAGCTTGGTGAGATATAAATAAATAAATATTTGCTTCTGTAAATTTAATTTAGAATTCTTGTTATAACTTGGTTAAAGGAGAAACAGGGACATTTTAAATGGTGTATGCAAGTGGATAGTTGAGTCCGGGGGGGAGGGGGGAACTAAAGCATTAGATTCCCTTCACATAGGAAGGAGTGTTTGACCTTTATTATAAACCATAGGAAATTCAATTACAGGTGGAGTCTCTCTAAATTCTGTAACGTCTTTTAGGGATTGGAAATAATCTTCCGTGTAGGAATGGCTCTTCTTCAATTCAACCAAGCTGAACTGATGCAATTGGACATGGAAGGAATGTCACAGGTCAGTTCTATCATGCATTGTGGGACTAGAAGAAAGATTGTTCGATGTTGATACAACAAACTTTCAGCTGTCCGCAATTCCATATTTAGGCTTGTACGAATGAAGAGATTTACAGGATTGAGGATAATTTGAAATAAAGAACTGATTCCAATAATATGCTAAAGGTTCCAAAGTGTAAAAACTCAAGTCAGTTTTCAAAGAAGAAAAACTTAAGTGACTCAAACCCTGGCTGTTTTCTGAACTGATATTCAATGTTGTTGCATGTGATGAGGCAGAATCAGCTATTTTAATATCTGGCTATGAAGACCTAGAAAGTAGTTTCAGAGTTATATCCAGAATGACCAGAGCAAGAGGGCCTGGTGGCTCAGCAGACTGATAGCATTGTGATTAACATTCAGCTGCCTGCAATTACTGTAAGTTCGAATCTCACCAGGCTCAAGGTTGACTCAGCCTTCCATCCTTTCTAAGGTAGGTGAAATGAGGACCCAGATTGTGGGGGCAATAAGCTGACTTTGTATAAATATACAAAAGTATGAACGCTATTGCTTAACGCATTGTAAGCCGCCCTGAGTCTCTGGAGAAGGGCAGCATATAAATCAAATTTAAAAAAAAAAAAAGAGATGGAGAAGCAATGACTCATCTGCCGCTTGCCTGTATGTTTTATTCTTCCTTCTATTTAGAAAAAGTCTCTTATGTCTTTTCCATCTTTTTGTGGCAGTATATCAATATGCCAAATATTGAGAACATTCATTAACTGCCTACAGGTAATCTTTGACTTAGGGGTACAGTTAGGACCGGAATTTCTCTCATAAATTGTGGTGATCATAAAATGAGTCACCATGCAATCAAACCTGATTTTACTACCATTTTTACCATGGTTGTTAAGTGAACCCAGCTTTCCTAGTTGATGTTTTTTGTCAGAAACCAGCTAAGAAGGTTGTAAATCACAATCATTTGATAGCAGGATGATGTAACTGGTCGTAAATATGAGCCAGGGCCAAGTGCCCAAATTCCAATCACATGACCATAGAGCAGGGGTGAAATGCTTCCGGTTCGGACCAGATCACCTGATTCGGTAGTGATTGAGGTGGGTGGTTCGGAGAACCGGTAGCAAAAATCCCTGCCCCCCCCCATACCCAGCTGAGCCGCACAATCATCAGAGGCTTTTTTTTACTTTTAAAAGCATTATTTTCTACAACCTCTTTAGCCAAAAAAATGCTTTAAAAAAAAAAAAAAAAAAAAAAGCCTCTGACAATCCCAGCTGAGTTGACTGATCGTCAGAGGCATTTAAAAGAAAAAAAACCTCTGCTGATCAGGCAACTCAGCTGGAATTGTCAGAGCCTTTTGAAAGCATTTTTTTACAACCTCTTCGCCAAAGAGGTTGTAGAAAAAATGGTTTTAAAAGTGAAAAAAAAAATGGCCACGCCCACCCAGTCACATTACCCCCACCAAGCCATGCCCACAGAATCGGTAGTAACAAATTTTAGATTTCACCACTGCCATGGAGGTGGTGTGATGATTGTAAGGACAGGTGTAAATCAGTTTTTTTTTTCTGAAGCCATCATAACTTTGAACAATCATTAAATGAACGATTGCAAGTCAAGGATTATCTATACTAGATACCAGGCAGAGATTCCTGAGAATCATATGGGTTTAGATCCACTGAGTTGCAGATAGGGAGAGAGCTATGAGTTCTCTCCTCTTGATGGTTTCAATATTAGTTATCAAATATAGTGTTTCTCCATTGCCTTTTGTAAGCTGACATGGAAGCTTAGCCCATGCACTGTGCCAAGCCATAATTCAATTTGTGTGGCTTTAACCTAGTCTTTTTTTTTTCAAAATTCAGTCACATCTTTCATCAATCAGTTAAAACAAACCATGGCCTAGAATGAAGTATGTTTGTAATCTCCCTATAGTAGTACTCTTGCCACAACAATAAAAACTTATCTTGGCTACATTAGGAGTCCATGGGAATGGTATATTGTTAAGGTATCTTTCAAAGATCTATACACTGCCATCTGCTAAGAGCAGCTTCATAGGATTCCTGGTTCCTGACTACTTTTTGTTGCCCAGTGATGATCTACTGGTCAGTGAAGAGCATGAGACTCTCTAATAGTCAGTGGGCAGACCCAAGCCTCTGGTGAATGAAATCAAGTATGGGAAGGAATATTCTAACTTTCACACACACACTGCACCCACTCATTTATATCCCACTGTAATCATATACAAGTCCTTGGCAGCTCGTGATAATTAAAAAAAAACCCAGAAACAATCAAATTGAATATATAAAAAGGCCAACAGCCAAAATAAACAAACCTACATTTCATAAAACATCTGGTGTCAGCCCTTAAATGCACTTCTCATGGGAGGCCATCCAGAAGGCCTGGCCAACTACAAAGCATGTCTCTTCCCCACCCCACCACCCACCCACCTCGCCATAACCTCCCCAAAATGGTGGGATGACAAGCTGCCTCTCCTAGTGTGATCAAAAGGGTTGGGAGGATTCCAGTGGGATTCCACATATTCCATATGTGTATGTAAAAAATAGATGTAAGTGTGATTGTATAGTAAATATGCTGTCATTCTGGTAATATAAACAGCTATTGTGTCTACATCCTTTAAAATAGTTCTAAAGAATTGACAGAATATTTGAAATACCCATGAGTATTTCCTTTTTCTGAAATGCTACAGAGATGTGTTTCTCCAGCTATAAAAAACAGCTCAGTACTTGGGTGGATATTTGAGAGTAAAGTGAGAGGTTACCTAGTGGCAAGTATTATGGGCTGGCTTTTGCATATTACTCACCTACATACTCACCTAAGTCCCCAATCTTTTTGGCACCAGGGACCAGTTTCGTAGAAGACAATTTTTCCATGTACTGGGACTGGGGTGGGGGAAGGGAGGGGAGGAAGAGTGTGTAACCTAGATCCCTCAGATGTTCAGTTTACAGCAGGGTTTGGGCTCCTATGAGAATCTAATGCCTAATCGTCTGAGGGTGGAGCTGAACGGTGATGTTAGTGCTGGGGCTGCAAATACAGATGAAGCTTCGCTTGCTTGCCTGCTGCTCACCTCCAGCAGTGCAGCCTGGTTCCTAACAGACTATGAACCAGTGTCAATCTGTGCCCCTGGAATTGGAGATCCCTGAGCTAGATGACTGGCAATTTACAAATTGAACAAGTACATTTCAAAGCTTCAGGCCCATGGAGTTAATAACTGCAAAACATTTCCATTTGTGATATTGACAGATGGGTTTGTTTATGCTTAACAGGTGAACACTTTGAGCTAAATCAAGTCTGTATATATCAGATTTAATCTCTGGGAAAGCTTTTCTTCAAAAATATAGAATTACTTCAAACAAGTATGATACTTCTAAGCTACCTTCCTTCCCTTCCTACAATATGGTAGATTTATTTTTTCATTATACAACTCAATAAACTGGCTGTGAAAAAATGTTTTATTCATTGCAACATAGAATTAGAGAATGAAGAAAAAACTGAAATCTAATTAAGCTATTTCTTCCTAATTTATAAAATTGGAATATTGAACATTTCTACATTGTATGAAGAATTATTTGGGTAGAGAAAAGATTTATGATTTTTATTGTATTAATAGCTGAGATTATCTTCATCTAAATAAGTTCTAATTTGTATGGTTAAAAACACTGCATTCTATCAGGCTCTGGCTTCATAAGCAAATGCACAACATATATTAGCCAAGACTTGTTCTACCCAAGTATTAGCAATATGCTAGAAGTTTTCCTTGAAGCTGGGAGTTATCCTATAGGCATGATTTAAGATTGTAACTAGTAAAAAGCTTTGTTCTGAAAAATCTTGTTCTCTGTGTATTTGTGCTCATGTAAGCATCTGGATTTAGAATATTTTAATGAGCTATAATAATATATGTGGTCAGTAATACCTCTACACCTATTCTATTCTAAAATAGAATAGTGTTCTATCATAGTGTTAAGACTTGAATTTTAATTCACAATCATTGAATATTTGAATTCAGTGCATTCAATTTTAGTTTAAGGCAAATGGGCCATATTTGGAAAAATCTTTTCACAAGAAGCATTCCAGAGATTAACCATCCCTCTGTTGTCCAATGTAATAAACTGAGAAAGAGGTAATCCTGGATTTACAACCACAATTGAGCCCAAAATTTATCTTGCCAAGCAAGGCAGTTGTTATGTGAGTTTTGCTCCATTTTGTGACCTTTCTTGCCACAATTATTAAGCAGTTATTTAGTGAATCATGCAATCATTAAGTGAATTTGGCTTCCCTCACTGACTTTGCTTGTAAGAAGTTGGATGGGAAGGTTACAAATGGTGATCGCATGACCCCAGAACAGTGCACCTGTCATAAATACATGTCAGTTGCTAAGAGCCCAAGTTTTATTCACTGACTATGGGGGTACTGCAGCGGTTGTAAGTGTGAAAATAGGTCATAAGATATGTTGTAACTTCTTCACTAAATGAATGGCTGTAAATTGAGGATTACCTGTCCAATAAAAATGTCAGAAATTGCATTCGATAATAAGACTATATGATCTTGATGAATATTCATTTGAGAATTGTCTACTGCAGTATTTTCAGAAGGTGATTCCTCATCAGTTTGACAGCTGTCCTGATAAGCTGATCTTAAAGGCCTATCAAGTCAAATACAACCCTAAGAAAATGAAACGGTATGTTTTCAATTTTTATTCCTCATATATAGCTTAAAGAATATAGGATTTAGGCAAAACTCATGAGGTAGACCAGTTCACAATGTTTGTGTTCCAAGTCTATATATAAAAGAGATCATAGTTATCCCTTCTATTTTGACCCATTTCCCGGAACAAAAACTGAACATCAAATGTGTTAGGAAAAATATGCTCAATCTGCAGTTTTGTGCTGACTTTCTAAATACAAGTGATAATCTTAAAATGGAGGTTATTAGAAAAAGGGCATTTTTCCATCATTACCATACTTTTTCTGCAACCATATTATGTTTGATGCAGAATGAACCCTATTCTCTATTTTCTAGACTGGAGAAAGAGTATACGGCAATCAAAAACCGGGAAATGGAAGAACAGATTGAAATCAAGGTAAGACCCCTCTTGTCTGTGTCTTGCAATACTGTCATCAAAATGAAGGGTTGGTGTAATGTGTTATCAGAAAAATAATCTTTCTTAAATAATTCTCAGGTCACATTATTTCCATATCATTCTGGACATCTTGATTAGTAGTTTTGTTATTTATAGTGGGCATGTATTTTAAGCGTTCGACTTATTTCTGTTGGGGTAATATGTGTGAAATTAAAGAATTCCCTTTTTTGAACTTTAGATCCATCAATCTGGATGTGGCGTGACTTTTCCTCTACTAGTTATTTATGACGCTTGGCTTTAGTTCAGGAGTCAAGATTTCAGCATAATATTTTGATATGCTGGTTTTCACTTGACAAAAGCTCATGCTCACACAGCAGAGCACATGCTGATTCTAATCTTGCTTGCAGAGGCTCCGTACTGAGAACCGCCTTCTGAAACAGCGAATTGAAACCCTGGAGAAGGTGAGAAGTGTACCCAGCCGCATGAGAATCCACTTCCTCCGCTTCCAGACTAGCTTGGCCACCAAAAATGAGGCCTTACACAGCTCTCTGTCTCAGTTGACTGTAGACAATACACAGAATGCCAGCCATTAGTCTTTGTGCATCCTCTCAGGGACTACCCTGCACATGTATTTCTGGAATCATTCTTAATGTAAGCACCCAAGAGAGTATTTCTCACCCTATCACTACTGGAAATAATTAAAAAGTGATCTGCTGCCAGGATTCCTTAAGATTAAAAAAAAAACCTAATCTGTAAAGATGTTAGATGTAGTTTCTCTGCCAATCCAAAAAACTTTGATCAAAATGGTAAAATGGACCCAAAGTAATTTATTTGTCTTGTGGTTGATAATGACTGTTTTTCAGCCGTCTTGTGCCATATTCTTATACTGATCTTGTTTTTGTGTTTAAATATTAAACGCTTTCATGAAAAATGTAAAAACTCCTTGGATGTTTTTTATTGTAGCATAAATACGCTAATAGTTAACTTGAGGACATCTTGGTTAATTGCCCAACAAAAGCATAACCATTTAAAAAACGTCCTTGTTACTTATGGCTTCTTTGAATTTCTGGACAAAGGAAGTGTGACTTCTGAAATGCAATGAGATTCTTGTCCATTGGTGAAATAGGCAAATTACGAATCCTGATAGTTCTTGCAGTGTTGGGGCAAAATTAATATGCGAAGCTGCTTCTGAGAGTTATCTGTCATTCCTTATGCAGAGGAACATTCTTATGATCTGCATGATGGAAATGACATGCTGCAAATTTAAGACAATTCTGGAAGTTCCTTTTCTTGGGGTCTTTTGGGCTCTTTATCTTTTTTCCTGTGTGCTTGTGTGACCCTGCTGTTGTATCTTTTTTCTTTTCTTCATCTTTCCTTCCTTGTCTGGATCTTCCTCTTCTGGGTCTGTAGGAGAGTGCTGCCTTGGCAGATAGATTGATCCAGGTACAGTAAAATATATTTTTTTAAATTCCCAACTCTCCTTTTAGTTTTCCATTTCATTTCACTTGAAAAATAGTGTCTGCAACATTTAATGTTATTGGTAGCTCACATTTAATAAAATTCAGACTAACAATTCTATTTTGGTTGTTTAATTTTCTGCAATATTATTCAGCTGTTTTTTATACAAAACAGATGATTTTGAAATGTTGACTTAACACATCACTGTTTATTTTAGCATGAGGCTAATTAATTATGCTGCTTATACACAAGCCAATATTTATGGCTCAGAGCAGGTTAAATATTTTATTCTGGCAAATTATGGCAAACCTACTTGGTGAATATTTGTTTTAGTATTAAATGTTATAGAAAGTTCAAATCTCTGAATTGTCCTGCTGTCTGAATTATAATTGGGGATTACAGAGAAAGAAGAAGAATGCCACTGGGGCATTTTTCCCGGTGAAAATCACTATAGAAAGGGAAACATTTTGCATTCTTAGAAATTAAACAAGTCTAATTTCTTATACTGGAGCTCCCACATTTTTACAGCAGTTTTACTACTAGAAACTCATTGTACATCATCAGTATGAATGCCATCCTTTTAATTCAGCATAAACCTGCAAGGAAAACCAAGGCACAATTAAAACTGTGTAGCTACATCATGGGAATTGTTGGAAGATGTGAAAGTGTCCCAGTGGGACTGAAAACTAATCTGCAATTTCCGTTTTATATTTTAAGCATAAATTTTCTTTTAAAACACTATAAAGAACTATAAACATTTCTAAATTTTATGGGGGAGATCAGGCCCTTTATGGAAGATTACAAAAAGTAAGACTGGGTACATAATACTCCTTCCTCCTCCTATTTTCCCCCACAACAACAACCCTGTGAGATTAATTGGGCTGAGACAGAGCGATTGGCTCAAAATCACTCAGATGACTTTTATGCCTAAAATGGGAATAGAACTCATACTCACCTGATTTCTAGACCTGCAACTTAATCACTACCCAAAATTGATATTTATGCTTAAAAAGTAGTTTTTTATGGAGAAAATATATTGTGGGAATGGCCTTGGCAATTTGCTAAAAGACCTGTGACTTTCTGGTGCCATCCAATGCTTGCAATCACCACTTTTCTTAAACAAGTACCTGCAACAATAACAAGTAGGAAGATGAAGACATAGTCCTTCCCATCAGTCTCAATTGCCTGGAAATTCTGCCATTATCTGCGATTACATTAGAATGAGGAAAAAGAATTTGCCATTGGGAATTTCATGTGATACTTATATACACTGATTACATGCTTCTGTGTGTAGAACAGTAGGATAGATCATGCTGAACAATAACAACTTGGCTTTCAGCTTGGCTTTCAAACAACCTAATTTGTGTTCTGTGTTGCTTCAGATTCTGTAAGCAGAGAAGCAGTGCATGAATTCTGTTGAAAGCTCCTGCTCTTTATTAAAAAGAAGCGTGAAGCTTAGAATTTGTCCTGAATATAGGAAGCATCCTTACAGAACGTAATAGTGCAGCTATGGTCTGGCATATGATGATGGTTAAAGTAGCATAACAACCAAATGAACATAATGTTTAAGGTCACGCCATAGAAAAGCTTTGAATTGAGTACTTGTTGTTTGAAAAAGCTATATGAAAATATCTCAATGAATTTGCATAAGGTTGTTATGTAGACAGATGCTACATTCACACTCCTGTGTGTTCTATAGTGCTTTTTTGGAGACTGAATACAGATGCATGAATATATTGCATAGATCTAATATTTACATACTCTCTTACACATTAATTTACAGCTACAGGCAACTCCAATGCACATTGATACCACACAGCAAGCAGATGCTTTTCCAGTTGTTTATTTATGCACAAATATGGAACAAGCATAGATTTTAAACTTTGAATATGGAAGCAGCAGGGGAATTAGACATTTTATTTATCAATCAAGGGATATAAAGATGAAGATTATCAAAGAAGAGTATCTTATCAGAATCTACGAATATGGCTGAATTTACTAATAAAGTATTGGTATTCAGTAGCCTTTTCTCAAATCTCTCTAATCACTTAATCCTGTTTAGGTGTGTGATAAGTAAATTGCTGCATTTTAAGTAGGTATTTCATTAGAGTAATTATTGTTTTTCACCTAACAATCATGATTAATTACTTTTTTGTTTGCCTTTTCCTATGTTCTCTGACAATTCATAAAGGAATCTACTGAGTAGCTTAAGTGTTAAGTCTGAAATATTGAATAATGGGATCAAAATATCCATTTGCAACATCTTATAGCAATTACCTGAATGTAAGAAGGACATTTTATCTCTAGTTCCTCTTCTCATGCAATCCTGTGTGCAAGTAAATAAAGACTAGTATAAGTGTCTGAAAAGCACCACGGTGTTCCCTTGTGAAATGAACCTTTAAAAAAAAGTTCCCAAAGGGAAAAAATTGCTATGCCACTGTGGTCAGGCCTTGCTGTTTCCAATTATTGGTGTATACAATGCTAAGAGGATGCTAAGTGAGCAGATATTTTGAAAGAGAAAAACTATTCCCCTCATCTCACATCCTGTGGTGAAGTTTACTAAATCAAAATATTTCTGTATAGGATGAGATATGTCATAGGCAGCAACTTTTATGAAGCTGTAGGCCGTTCTGTGAATTCATTGTGGGTAGCAAAGGGGGTGGAGGGTGGTGTAAAGATGCCAGAAAAGTAGGCAGAGCTTTTACTGGACTGAGTGTCTGAAAATGCTTTGTGAGTAGGGTTTTAAGTATGCTAAGCCTTTGAGTATTTCATTTATTTGTAATGGTGTTTAATTTAGATTTGTGTATTGTATGAATCCGGTTAGCTATGGCTTATTCAATACCTCAGGGTTAAATTCATTGCATGAATTTAGCCATAGTAAAAATAAGGTTGTGAATAAAAGAAGGCTCATTAACTGAAAGCTAAAGAGTACAGAGTTTGGGAACACTTATTGTGTTTAGAGTTGGTTGATAATTGTAATTACTATTGAAACAAGGGAGATAGCAGCTGACTTACAGTTGGTGAGATTACAGTTGCAAGACAAAACATAGGCATTCTGATCAGATTGTACGTTTCAATGAACAGAAGTTGATATAATTTTATAAAGTTAAACATGACATTTTCTGCAAATTTGCATGCATAATATTTAAATATACTTGTTTACAGATTCAGATATTTGAGGTGTAAAATTTTGGACCCTTTCAATTCAGTACTAGTTACTTTTTTAACATTTACATAGCTTTATTGGTTTTCAAAAAAAAATTACAAAGATAAAAGATAAACAAAAGGTTTTAAAAAATCAAAAGGCTTGGGGAAGAATAAAGGAAAGTGCAAAAAAGGCAGAAAAAAGAAAAATACAAAAAGAATGACTTCTGACTTCTTTTGGTACAAAATATAAATTAACATTAAATACATCAAACTATGATTAGCATTTGACTGCTTTATTTCCATAATTCATCAGATCCCAAAGTCAACTTTTCATTTATTTTAGTTTCTTGCAAAAAAGTCCAAAAATGGTTTCGAAGAAAAAATAAAATTTGTCAAAGTCATTTTTTTATCAAGGCTGTCAGCTTCATCCTTTCTGCCAATTCTACTAGCTTCACCATTCTTCCATTATAGGCATTTGTTTTAACATTAATGTTGTTAGGATTGCGGCTTTGTTAGGCTTGCATTTAACAAATTGAACAAATATTCTAACCCTTCTAACATCTCAGATTATGATAGTTGTTCTGTGTCTTCACCAATCCTTTGGCTCCTCTAAACAGCTTTTGAAAATGAAAATATCTTTTACAAAACAGGAAAAGGATATTTTTAAAATCTCTGAACTCTTCCAACTAGGAATTTCAATTCAATTGGAAGTTTCATGAAACTGTTGATGTAGTAGGAATATTTAGAAGAAAAAATGTCTGTTAGAATTATCCAAACACTGGTACAATATGTGAACCAGAACCCACAGTTTATTGAAAATTATCTACTAAAAAGTTTAACTGACACTGGAGTAGTCTATCCACAGGTGTGCAATATATGTTATGTATACTGCAGTGGTCTGTATAGTTAAGATGCCAGCTTGAAATCTTTTCTCTGACATAACCCCCAACTACTAAAATATACAAAATAAGATACTGATAAGTCAGAAAACATTTTGGAACAAAGTAGTTTGAACTAATGAAATCAAAACTGAACTCTGGCCATTTGGAGATAAAAGGGTGAAAGCATTGTGGGGCGGAATAGTTTAGCAACTATTAACGGGTTATCCTTTCAGATTTTGTGGAAGACAATTTCACAGGCAATATTGTGCAAATAGAAGGAAGAAAGGATTCAACATTATCTAAATACCAACATTATCTAGAAGCGAATGTCCCATAGTCAGTGAAGAAACTGCAGCTGAGAAAAAGCTTGTTGTCTTGCTAAAATATCCAATCTGAAACATAAACCCCAAATCAATGATAAAATACTTAAAAGAAAAGTCTGGGAATCTCTTTCATCATTGTAGAACTGAATATTACTGAAAATCTGCAGGAGATCTCACACTTGCAAAAAAAAAAAATCACTAAATCAGAGATGAAAGAGTTCGGAAAGGAAGAGAGAGAGAGGAAAGTTTTTTGAAATCAAGATTAGAAAAACTTAACCAGATAGAGGAAACTTTTGGAAGCTGTTATTTCTGCCAAAGGGGACACTGAAATGATGCCTAAACGTCTGCACCAGCTATAATGTAGTTACTGTTTCTGTAATCTGTTAAAAAAAACATCTTCACATTCATTATGCATTCAAATGTGTTAAATGTTACTGTGTTAATATAGCTGTATCAACTTTTACTTATTTGGAGATTCCTTGAAAGATGCATGTCATAGCCTTTTGCGAGTTCCCCAGATTTGACTTAAGTCCCAGCACATCAGATACTGCTCTATTTTTTTTCCTCTTAATTCAGCAAGCAGACACAAGCCTCTAGTTTCAGTCTGAGGCAGTATTTCTTTCTCCTCCCTCTC